GCATAATTAGATTCTCTTTCTACATCTAAAAAGTAAACACAAGAATCTTCACTGCTTGTAACTGTAAAATAAAAATATTCAATTTTATTTTTGTTTACATATTTCTGATATTATAAAAATATAAACTGAATACATACCAACACAAGCACCCTGTCTAAAAGACATAATAGGACAAAATGTTGAACGTAACAAGTGATTGCTGTGAGCATGATGAACTAAAAACTTCTTTTTCAAATATAACGAACCTCCATCATTTTCAGAAACTCTAAAATACAATAACCATATTATTTTTTGGTTATTTATTTTTAATTAATTATAAATAACAAACTTAAAAAGACATAATATATTATTTGCACAATTTGCTAATAACATTGGATCTCTGGCTTCTCGGCTAATCCATGATCTCCAGCTCAAACAAGTAATTGCACCACGATTTKGTGATGTTATAATTCGATGACACTTAGTAAGAATACTATCACTGCTATTTAACTTGAGAGATACAATTTCACTCTATATGTACATTAACAATTATATTTTTAATTACACAGTCAAACAGTTATGGGAATATTATTACCTTGTCATTTCCAACCCATATTATTTGTCCACTACTATTAACTGCAAGAGATAAAATTTGACCACCAATTTTGTGCTTTCCACCTTTTGGATACATACCTGTTGAAACATTTAATATGCACACGAATCCAGCCTTGTTGCCAGTCTACAATTATAAATTAAATTATACTATATAATACATAGCAAAGAATAAAAAATAAATACCATACAATTAGAATATTGTTGTTGATAGGATTAAATAAACAGGCCAAAACAGATGAATAAAAAGGATCACTGACACATCTTAGACAACAATGTCGAATTGCATCCCAAAAACAAATAGTTGCATCGGTGGAACAGCTAGCAATTAATTCATCTGAAGCGGACCAATCACAACCTAGAAAATATTATTTTTTTTTATTGATTTATATTAAATATATTTGTAGTTAGAAATAGTCATAAATATATATATATATATATATATATAAATATAATATATATATATATATATTAATATAGACAATCTAGTTCCTTGCTAGATAAGTCCTACTTCAATTTATTTGCTATTCATTATTACTACTATATAATATGATAGTATAACATATAGATCAATAAGTAATTTCTATGGAGTCCGAAAGATTAAAAGAATAAATAAATKAAGTTCAGAAAAAAAATCTTACTCCAATCCTTATTTCCATAGAAATGATTTAAAGACAAAAAAAGCAGTAAGTTGTGGATGTTGCTCTGCTGTACAGTAGATTACAAGTAGGTTACTTGGAATTGAATTTGAATCCAATGATATTATATCATTGTATAAGAAAAACGATTCTGAGCGGAGATGGTTTATCTGTCTAGGATATATTATAGATTATTAAAAATTTTCAAGTCTTAGATTTAAAAAGAAAATTTTTTATGAATTTCTATCTAAGATAATTTTAACTTTGCTGTAATTTTTACGTATTTAGTCAAAATTTGAACTTTAAATACTTATAAAAAAAATTGTGCTTATGTATTTTTAATATTTTTCAACTGCTATTGTAACAATGTGTGAATTAGATTTTCAAGCTTTTCTACCCAAAAAATAAATTTTTATCGATATTTATAAAAATTAAAAATTAAAAAAGTTGAAAAATTAAAATTAAACAGCTCAAAACAAATCAAGATATTTGAAATGTTATCAA